TTTTTAAATTATTAAATATTATATATTGTTAAAATTTTTAAATTATTAAAATTTAATAACTATTTATTTTCAATAAAATTTAATATTAATATATCAAATATTAAAATATATTTTGATAACTCTACCAGTTAATGAATATCATGAATTTGAAAATAATAGTATAAATAATAAAATATAAATGCATATAAGATTGTAAATAGAGAAATATTACTTAAGAAGATATGAAACATAACTAATTATTTAAAAATTTATTGATTTTATTTTTTTAATTCAAATCTTGTCATTTTTTTTAGAGAAATATATTATTTTTTTTAAAATTCATATTATCCTTTGAAATCTGATAAAATCCTTTCAAATCTTATAAATTCTTGAGATACAAATTCATTAAAATTTATATAGTAAAATCTTAATTAAAAAAAGGTCTTTTAATTTTTTTTTATAAATCATTATATTCTTAAAAAATTAAAACATCTTAAAAGTCATTAAATTTTTATAAAAACTTTTAAATTTCACAAAATTTTTTATAAAAAATCTTGTGAAAATATGAAATTTTAATCTAATACGCCTCTCTTATACTTAGTTAGTTACTACTTACTAATAATAAGCTAATTAAGCTAGCAGTGTATCTTCTAGTGATTTTAGTTTTTTTATATTATTTTATAATTTTAATAATAAATTAGACCTTATTCTTCAATTTCTCAATTATACCCCTTATTTAATAATATTATTTTCTACATTAAGTATTTTTACTAAAGAATGGGATACACGCACCACTAATATTAATTCCACTGCTAAGAATAGAAATCAAATGGGTATTTAAATCAAAATATATTAAGACTACAAAACAAATATATCGATTGACTTATTTCAGCTTAATTAACGTAGAACTTTGGATACGAAGTTGTTTTATATTCTTAGAGGAAAAAACACATTAACATATAAATCAAACCCTAGTATTTAACCAAAAAAAAAATCAAACTTATATATAGTTACATCACATCCCGTGAACATAAATTAATTGTTAATTATTTTCAGTTTTTCAATGCGTGCATAATTGAAAAAAAAAATATATATCTCCTGAATTAATGTCTCGAATACCTCGTTGTTAAACGGCTGCAATATTTCATTTAATTGAGTTTTCAGTTGCTGGGTGTTAGCAATACAATAAAAATTTATTGCATTAAGACTTTAATTGGTCTTAACAGAAACAAATACGTTTTAAATTTCTCAATTAAGACTAATTAACGTACTCATTAACTGCTTCTTTCAGTTTCGTTTACTTAATTATTATGATAGTACGGTGCGTACTCTATTTTATTTCCTGTTTTAACATATATATTTCCTATCGTATTATATGTCACTTTAAGCTTATCTAAATTTATTCATTATTATTCTTGAAAATTAAGAAAGCTTTATTTGTCTTTTTTCTTCTTCCACTAATATATTTATTGAGATCAAAGTTGGCAATTGGCCTTTGACTCCAGATTTAGGCAGCTAAAACAAGGCTACAGTAAATGATCTTAATATATAGAGAATAAAAAACACGTTTCATTTTAATTTCTATTCATATCATTTTTGCTTTTTTTTTTTTTTTTTTTTTTTTTTTTTTTTAGTTCTTATCATTTATTCTATAAGACTATAAAGTAAAGCTTTATGCAATTACATCACATGGACGAAAACCGTATGTATAAAAATTAAATGGAATGATTTTAATCATAAAAATTAAAAGATAAAATTTATGAAAATATGTAAACTAAAAGGATAATTAAATAAAAAATAGTAATATTCAAATCATTTACTTTTTTCTTGTCCTAAGTAACAACGTAATATTATCTTAGATAATCAGAAGCTACTATCTCAATTAGATGACAAACTCAACAACAACCATCATCTAATATTTTTTTTTAAAAAAATAATAATATATTATATATTTAAGAGGGTAAACATATAATTTAGTCATTATATATGTCAAGAATTTTTAATTTCGTCTCTATACATAAAAGCTTATAAAATTAGTCCTTATATTGCTAAATATTACCAACATATATAGTCCTTGACACCATTAACTTCATTATACATTTAATTCTTATACATATAACATATTTTTAATTTGACTCTTACACATTAGTATCTTTTTTTAATTTGATCCTTACATAAAGAGGATAAAATTAAGAATGTGCTAATCCTATAAAGATTAAATTAAGAATGCACTATATATATATATAAATATCAAATTAAGAATATGTAAAAGAGCTAATAATAATTTTAGATACTAAATCAATAATATTTACATATATAATAACCAATTTAATAAATTTTTATATATAAAAAACTAAATTGAGTCTATAATATATAAAAAGACTAAATTATATATTTTACCTATTTTAAACTTAATAAATTTTTATATAAAAACTAAATTGAGTCTACAGTATAAAAGGACTAAATTATATATTTCACCTATTTTAAATAAACTAATTCTATCTTATAAAAATTTTATACAATATTTTATTTTGGGCAGCCCATCTTATCACGCGGTCTCAATAAGACTGCCCATCCCAAAACTAAAAGACAGATTGTCTTGTATTTAGTTCTATTCTTTTTTGACTTCTATTTTTTTTTTTCCAATGTACCAAAAACAATAAATTTATAACTACATTCTAGTTCTTTTAATAAGGATATTTTTTTGGTCATATATTATAATATATGGTTATAAATTTACGTGTTACTATGCAACAGTGCTAAGTATTTTACCGTGTAACCAAATAGATTTACAGAAGCTGCATGTGAAATAAAAGTCACGAAAGATGCCATTTTATTTCCTTTTGATATATAGCTCAAATGCTGGTAATTCAAAACATGTAGTTTACTTTCCCCATACAAGGAATCAAAATTAATTACAATGGTTATTTATAACAGTATCAATAATATTAGTATTAATTATTATTATTTATTGATGATTATTATTGTGTTACATGTTCCCTTTTCTAGATTAGTACCACTCTTTATTTCTTGTCCATTGTTGAATGTAGTCCTTACTCATCAGTGTCCAAGTTCCATTACTTCATCATCCCTCTGAATTTTCTTCAACATTATTTACTAACAAATAAAAACTATATATATAGTGTGCATATATATTTTAGTGGCACTTCCAAGTACTCACACATGAACAACTTCATTATTAATCTGAAACATCATCTCAACCAAATCCAGCTCCTTCTTAACTTCAACCTCCAACATCTCTAGTGGCACCTCTGACTCAACATGATTATTATTCTCATCGATATTAACAACATGATCATAATGTTTTGCCTCCAATATTATAGGATCACATTGCATTTTCTTATCCATAGGAAGAGCACGGGGCACATCATCTAGAAGAGAATCAATACTATATCCCTCTTCAAAAAAATTCTCCCCAAAGAAACAATCAGGGACCACATTATTAAAATCATAGTTTGGTGGCATGCTATTATCAGTGGCACAAAACTGATATGCTGCCTGGGGCAAAGGTGGTGCAGTGGCTTTGCTTGTGGTGGTTTTGCTTTTCATGGCTTTGGCATAATTGACAGAAGATTTTCTCCTATAGTCTATTGGAGGGTTCTTGTCCAAGTTCAAGCTCTTGATATAGTCTTGCAGAAGAGTGCCTCTAGGGTACTTTGAACGACACTTTCTTTTGGAGTATTGCCTTCTCTTGGTTGCATTCCAATGGTTCTTGATTGAGTTCTCAGTTCTTCCTGGCAACCTTTTGGCAATCTCTGCCCATTTGTTTCCTACCTCTGCATGAGCTTGGATTAGTATTTTGTCCTCTTCATCACTCCATGTGTCCTTCTGCATGCACAACAATTCAAACATGCATAGTTGTCATTGTACGTATATATAAAACTTAATTACATGCAGATATTAGGATAATAGGTGTTATTAATTAGTACTATTCTTTGATGAGAATTGAAATTCACATAGATAATATGTGCAATAAAAGATTTTACCAAATGTTAACGTGTTTTTTCGAGATAAAATTTTAATTTTAATTAAAGAATAACATAAATAATTAATACTTATAATATTGCATCTAATTAAGTTTTATTTTAAATAAATATTGCTACCTTGATGTCAGGCCTCAGATGGTTATGCCATCTCTCTCTACATTGTTTTCCTATTCTTCCAGGCAAAACCTTAGCAATATGAGACCACTTCCTTAGTCCATATTGTTCTACCAGTTGAATCAACAACCTGTTTGTGCAAACACAGATAATTAAAATATACAAAAATTCCATATCGTAAACAAATAATAAAATACAATTAAATTGCCACAAGAAAGAAACTTTAGATGTAATGAAAATTAATTATTTGGTGTTTTGACTTACCCATCTTCTTCTATTGTCCATTGCCCCTTTACTATGTTGGACTTCTTGCGAATTTTGTATGTTCTTCTGGTTGGATAGGATTTATTATTTTTGTTCACGCCAACTCTTTTGTAATAATTCATTGGGGATATGCTCGAAACTTCATCCGGTGCAACATAATTTGAGAACTTGGTTTCTTGAGGATTAAAAGGCAAAAAACTTTGATTTGCAACTGTTATATCTAGTTGATTCCTTGGAGGGTGGTTCAAACTATAATTTCCATATAGGAAATTGTCCATAACATGAGCGTTGCCACTATTCTCCACAAAAGGCTTGCACTCATAAACATCAAATGATGAACTACTCTTAAAGGTGAAATTGTCCAAAGCATCAAAATTTGGAGTTTGGATTGGATTGGATGAGGATTCATTCACATGAAATTGATCAATTTGGTGAAAATCTTGCAAGAATCCTTGTGATGATGAAGGATTCCCAAAAGCAAGCATATCTTTCATACTAGGTTGCAAGCAACTTTCTTGTAAATGCATTGGTTGTGAGGCATATTTGAGCATTGTCTCAAGATCCATGGACACAGAATAATAGAAGAAAATGAAGAAGCAATTGTGTTTCAAGACACCAAATTTGTGTCTCTTAATAGAAGAGGATTAATACAAGAGGGATAATTGATTTCAAGGATCCAATGGCAAGTATTGATTAACCATAGTGATCTAACATTATTTTCTTATTTAACTGCTACTCTTATTAATAAAGTTAATTACAATTTTCCGTTATGTTATTTACTTAACATTATTGTAATCAAAGCTACCCTTGTGAGTAGAATTCATCTAGTGAGTGCAAGTCCATCAATAAGAGAACAAAAAGTTGACTAACAATTTGTACATTTAATTATTGACTTTTATTATATTTTACGCATATAGCATGCAATTAGGTTTACTAATGCAAAGGTAACAATTGCAAGCGAGGAACAAGCTTTTAATAACCATGGTAAAATTAAGGGAAAAAAAAAAGGTTTGAATGTGTTTGACTGCAATATTATGTAGTAATCGCAAACGTAACATATCATTTATTTTTGTCAAAGTGTAACTCTCACTAAAGAGAAAAAACTAATTACCCTAAACTGCACGTAGTTCGAAAATAGGGAGCACTTCAACTCCTTTATTGCCTTTGATGATCTAAATATTGGTTATATATTCTATACCTTTTTTTCTTACTATATGTGTTGTAGAGTGGAGCTAGGCATTTTGTTTGTTAATGTAATTTAGCGGACAAGTGCTACTTTAAATGTAATGAGTTAATGGGAAATGCAATTAGCTGATGATGAATATTGAAATTTCTGTATAAAATTTAATTAATTAAATTTGATTTAAGTTTAAAAGCATTTGAAAATTCTTTTTTTTAATTTTATTATTGAAAATCCAATCAAAAATATCGTAAATTGAAATGATAATGGATATATGGTATTAAGGTATTTAATCTATATTCACATCACAACATTATCTAGGTGATAACATTAGTGTTTATCCTATATATGCATAGTATGTATATTCATACTGTACTTATTACCGATATTATTTGTGTGTACATGCATAAGTGTCAGGCATAGATACGGGTTCCAACTAATATGATTATTCAATAAATCAGAACCAAATCGGAAAATTTTGAATCGGTTGATATTAGAAAATTGAGAATTCACTTAGTTTAATTTTGATATTAAATTTTCATGGAACCAAACCTATTCACCCGATTAAATAAATATTATATTATTTTTAACTATTAGATTTGATTTAGACTTAGAACTTTAGATTTTTAAGTAGAAAATAAATCCATTTAAATATATTTTAAAATACTTTATTATATTTATAATATTGAGTATTTTATCAAATGGATCAATTTGATGATATGACTGTATTTTATAAGTTGTCTAATATAATTTTAAATAATAAATCTAATGTTATAGTTCATACCAAATTAAATATAAAAGAATTAGATTAGTTTAGACTGGAGAGTGAAAATGAAAATCAATAAAATAAAATCATTAATAAAAAATAACATCAAAGTTTTTTAAAAAAATCTTTTAAATCCTATTTATGATGCTGATGGGAAAGATAATGTGGTGGATAGAGAATTTGGTTTGAATAACGAATACATCTTTTAATGGTGACCATATTTTATTGATTATTGTACTCTTTCATTTTAAAAAATTAAAAAAAAAATAATATGTTTTTTAAAATCAAGACGACCTTAAAATTAATTAACTAATTATAACATTAGATTAACTTATATTTATTACTTAATTTTTATTTTATTTTATCTTTAATAAAAATAAGAAGCGCCTCGATAATGCTAGAATTGGCCCATGGCACATACCCAGAAACAATGGATTAGAATGTGGTATGGATATGAGGAGGGGAAACGTCACACTTTGAGTTGATATCTGCATGTGGTTCGTGACTCGTGAGGAGAGAATGTGCCTTAATGTCCATACGTTACACGTGCTCTTTTGTTTGCGGTACTTGGGCAACTCAGCAACTGTCCAGCAAGCTGTAAATCTGTTTTGAATTTTAGATTGTATTAGTGTTTGTTGTTTGATTTCATAACATTACAACAATATAATATTTTTTTTTATATTTTATTTTGATTTAATGTTAGGTATTTGGATTAATAATAGTGTAACAAATCAATATATTTATTTTAGAATTTAATATCATTATTTGTTTTATGCAGTGACAGATCTAAAAATTTTAGATAATAGGAGTAATATTTAATTGTATATTTATAGTATTAAAAATTTTACATATAACTTTTAAAAGTATAAATATATATTATAATTATTTTTTACAAACCTTTATATCTAGGATTACGATTAACGATAAAAATAAATTAGATCAGACTATGTTATATTATAATTTAGTAGGTTTGAACCTAAGTTTTTTTAAATACATGTTTTAAATATAACTTATTTATCTATCATATAAATTTTTTAAATGTTTTGTTAGAACTACAATCCTAAAAATATATTTTATAATAATTTGATATTAATAAAAATATAAAAATAAATATGTTAAATTGTATAAAAATCAAGTTTAATTTATTTATGGTATAAACATATTATTATATCAAATATAAATTTTTGGATGATAATTTATTTTAAAACATATTTGATAATAAAATTTCTAAATAGAATATAAATCTTCCAATATTTCCTATTTTGATTTTTTTAATCAACGTATACAATCTTACAATCTTTACTATTTTAATTTTTTTAATCAATATATACATAAATAGAAAATACAAAAGGTAAACATATACGCTGTAAATTTTATTTTATCAAAAATTAAGCTTTTTAAAAAAATTAATTTGTTATTAAAGAGTATTATTTGTTACATATGAAAATTAATCTCCTTCGAAAGTTTGATAAATATCAAATAAATGAGCAAATCTTTTAAATTTATATTTTATACATATAATAATTTAAATATATATTTTTATTTTATTATAATATAATATTTATTTTTAGAAATATTTTTTTATAAAAAAAATATGTGTGTAAAATGATAGTGGGGGCAAGTGTCCCCACTCTCTTACACATAGATCTGTCACTGGTCTTGTGAATTGATAAGATTACATTTGCAGCAAGATACTAAATAATTTAAATTTTTTTATGAAATATTTAAATTTTTACAAAAAAAAAATAATTATGTTAACTTGATTGATCCAACTTAATTTTAATCCATTCATGATTGATTTTTAAAGGACGTTAGAGATTGATTTCACTAACCCACAAATATGTTTTAACCTGTTAAGTGACAAATTCAAAATCCATTAATTAAAATCTCAATTCTTTGACAAAGTTAGGTAAGCAATTTGTATTAAGATCTGAGATTTTAATGTTGGCTAAGAACTTTTATGCTATTCTTAGTAATAAGCGTTATTGGGTTCCTTTACAAATCCTAGTTTCAAAAGTGTTTCCTAACAACATTCAATTTGGTGGCTTCATGTATTTGGTGATTAAGCCAAAACAAGCATTAAGATAATGAAAGAAAATAATTAATTGGATATACCATTTTATTGAATTAATTAAAAGATTATAGGAGGCAAAGTTATCTATATTAATCCCCAACATAAGAGAATTAGTCACTCATGACTAATCTAACAAACAAAGAGGTTGAAGAAGTTTCTTGAGAGTTTCACCGTGATGGCTTCCATGTCTTTTATCTAGGAGGTGATTTACTAATACAATTCAAAGAGAGAGTCGACTAGGTTGTAGATGCGACTGAATGAGGGGCCAGTTCAAAAAAAAATTGAAAGAGGCCATAGGTAGTTGGTTGTGCCCTTGTCAATGTCGGGCTTCCCCTTCTCCTCCTAAATCCTCGTTGGTCTTTTTGACATAAGATTCTCGGCTGCTTAAGAGACTGACTATCTCTCTCTTTCTATCTTTAGACGCTATATCTTTAAAAAACTCGAAGAGTGACTACTGATTTCTACTCGTAGTTCCTCTCTCCTTAGTGTTGGTATAATTTTAAAAAGTAGACCTATAATTTTCTATCTTTACAAGGTATGATGAAGTTTTGCTGGTGGGCCTTTTATATTTCTTCAAATGTGACTTCAAACTTTACTCATACAAGCAACCAAGATGGCTTGATTAAGCGAGCTTGTAAAATATCATTTAGATAATCTTTGGTAGTTCTCACTTAAGTGAGAGAATGACTCACTTCAGGTGAACTTATTACAAAAATTTGCTAGAGCTTTTGACCTAACTCTCATAAGCAAGCAGGTGGCTCACATAAGTGAGCTTTCATTGTGAAGTATGGAATGCTCTGTATCGGGCCTTGCTTAAGACACCAAATTGATTCACTTAAACGAGACTCTAAAGCTCAGTTGTTCATCAACTTCTTTGGATATCCCTTCTATTCATCTAGTTTTCTCTTCTCATGTTATTTTTGTATCTTAAACAATAAAAACATTGAAAATAGCTAATAAAGAATTAAATGAGTGTGAAGTTATTTATTCTAATTTTATTACTCATTTCAAGTAAAAACATGATTTAGAAGCATAAGACATATGCCTAATAATTGTCTAATATTACTCATAAATATACACATTTTTGACAATTATCAAAATATACCAAACTTAGAATCTTGTTTGCTCCCAAGTAACACAAAATGAAAAATAAATTTCTTCTCCTAATCATAATTACTACGTATACTTCAGGATTTCATATCACATTAGCTAAAATTATTTTCCCAATTACACAAGCAATCAAATTGTCAACTATGGTGTCCACACCAGATTCACAATCAAGGCACATGAAAATTTTTTCATAGAAGCTAACTAACATGACAATTAGAATTATGAATTGCGAATGCTCTCCTCACTAATTAGCATAATTTCATGTGTAAACAAAGGTAAGTGTCAAACTTAGATTCACACTTTAAAACTACCCGATTTAACTTTTCTCTTCATTTTTACTTGTAGAACAATCATATAATCAAAAAAGTATGTAAGAATCACTAAGAACTTTTAAGCTTGTAATGTGGCCAGGCTACCAGGGATTTCATCATTTTTTTTCTAGATTTTCAAAGGAAGCCTAAGACTAAAAGCATTTGATCATTGCATTCCAATCATTCTTTCTTTATCTTTGTCATTCAACAATTTATTCCAAACATCCCAGGTTTTTTTCTTCGTGTCGTAATGCATAATGTCTTTGTTGCTTTTTCTTTTCTTTTTTATTTTTGTACACTATTTTTTCTTTTTGAAATTTGTCTCAATATTTTTGGATTAATTGCAATAGAGGAGGCATTTGATTTCTATTGATTTCCTAAAACATGTAGCCTCACAAAACTATGTGGGTTAATGCATACTCACACCAAACTTTTAACTTTTACTTATATTGTGGATGTAGTAGATATCCACACCAAACTCATAACCTTTTCTTTCATCATGACTAACTGCTCTCCTAATCCCTAAGGCATAAGCAACAATTGTTTTCATTTGGCTCAACTTCTAGTAAAACTTGATAAATTCGCGTGTTTGACTCAAATAGGGTAGCAAATGTTATATAAAAAAAATAGTTAGGTTGGATTTTTGGCTTAGTGGCTTAATTTTGAAAAATTGTCTTGACCATGTCCGAACTTATAGATATGATCATACAACTACAAGATTGAAACAAAATTAATAGGAAAGGTAAACATACACACACTCATAATATTTTTGGATCTCGACCAACCCAGTTGGACTTATGAAAGATCATAAAACCTCATGCCTCATGCCTCATTTATCAATCTTAGAAATAAACACATACACAAATTAGTTTCACTTTAATTTTCCACCTCAAAAGACTCAAATATTGCCAAGCAGAGAATTAATTACTAATTAGAAAATACCAAGAATGATTAATATAAAAATATTTCATGTATAACCCAACAATAAGGAAAAAAGAAATAAAATAAAAGGTAGAAAATAACAATAAAAGAAAGATAAAACCTAAGGAAAAGGGAAAAAAAATTGAACTCTTAGACTAGGCCTCTAATCATCACTCTAAGCATCCTACATCTTAGTCTCCTCCTCTTTAAAGTGGTTACTCTCCTTCTCATCAATATCTCCAATAGCTTCGCCTCCTCCTTGGCCAACAACTTGTTGGTTTGCAGAGCTAGTTAGCCATGCAACATAAAGTGCTTACTACTTAGTTGAGGCACAATAGTAAGGACCTTGGAATCTAGCAGTCATTTGGAAGAAAAATCCCCTCAAGCTATCCATTACCATGTTAATGGCATAGTTGTTGGTTGTAATGGTCGTCCTCATCTCTATTAGCTCCTCGTCTCTACCCCCAAAAACTGGGACAATTATAGGTCCAAGTGTAGGTGATTGTATAGGCAAAACAACTTTGACATCAGATTCACAAGAGTGCTTTATAAGTCTCTTGTCAATGGAAGTTTTGATAGAATCATGGGGCTCTCCATGAGGTGGATCAACCATGATGCCCTTCAACCTGCATAAACCATGAATCACAGCAAAAAAAACCCGAGAAAACCTTTTTTTGGAGCCTACCCAAACTCATATATGCATTGAGAGATGTAATCCCCAATATTGACACTTTTTCCTATCAGAATGACATATACGAAGTATGCTAGGGAGGCTATCATCTCATATGTGTGCATGTTAAGAGTAATGTTTCCCAAACTAAAGACCATCCAAATCTTGGGAAGATTCTAGAGGTGAGGCTCAATGACCTTCAATGGTATGTTGTTCTCCTATCCCCCTAACTCAAAACTGCAACAAGGTAGACAGAGGAATGTTGCACAATGGGTACGTGATAGGTTGTCTGTTCCATACTTCATACTCAAAAGCTTGACCCTAACGGAATATGGGGTCGTGTAGGCACTAGTTAAAGGACTAGGCATCATAGTTAATAGGCACACTCTAACCATTATTTGTTTATGGTGGTGGACCTATAAGAAATGTAGGCATTTGCATAGAACTCCCTCATTTCTAACTAAATTGCACATCTGGTTGAGTCAGCATCTTTAACTTTCTCCTAACAAACTCAACCATAAAGTTAGGTTATTCTTGAGGGCCTAAGTCCACAAGCATCTCCTTGATCCAACCCTTGTTGAGAATCTTTTCATAAATCTTGTAGTTCTCAAGGGAAGCAAACCTTAAGCCATCATAGGGTTGCTCCTCGTCTTAGTGATTGCTTAAAGTTAGCCTTTGAAAATTTAAAACTTGTAAAAAAAAATGAAAATTAGGACTATTTTTAAAATATTAAGAGTCTCAATTAAAAAAATTACAAGATTAAGGATTTAATTATAAATCTTTAAATTGAGAAACTTAATTATAAATTTACAAATGATTTAAGGACCTACTAATCAATTTAATTGTATCTTTTTTACCAAGGAAATTTTCCAAGCAATAACTAAAAACTAAAATTGAACAACCTAATTAAAAATTTACAAATAGTTTAAGGACCTACTAATCAATTTAATCGTATTATTTTTAAGCAAGAGCATTTTCTAACCAATAACCTAAAACTAAAATTCTTGAAGATAGTGAAATCACCAAAATAAACAATCTCATACTCATGATGAGAGATTACCTAATCAACTAATGTGTTGCATTCCTCATCATGTTTTACTTAATATTTTATGTAGATTTGACATGCATTTTTCATTAATTTGGGTTTAGCCTTATTAATAATTTCCTACTTTCTCTTCTTAGGACTTGTTACACTTTCTTGTTTGTTTTTAGGTTTCAGTCAAGCTTGCTTGAAGTGTGATTCAACTTTGGAAAGTTAATCTTGAAGGCTTAGAGGAGTTTGAACCAAGAAAGATAGCTTTGGGAGCTTTAGAAGTACGTTGAAGTTGAGGCGCGGTAGGAAAGTCCACTCCTTTTAGTGTGGGGATGGCCACAATCAAAGAAATATGAAGGACAATTGAAGAAAATTAAGGTGGTAAGGTCTAAAATCTCCTCAGTTGTGCGCATCCTAGCAAGGTCTGCAAAATCTTCGCAATAACATGGTTGTGGAACTCTCCACGAGCAATCGGGCATAGGCAAGTGACAAATTGCTTGTTTTGTTATCTCCCTATTTTTATTTAGTTAGACTTGGACCTCTTTTGTACCCAAATTTGTAATTAAAAATTATAAGTAGACCTTTCAGGGCTTGTGAAAAACACTGAACCTTACTAGGTCGACGACGTAAGAGAGGCAATTGTCTTATTTTATTTTCTTTTTTGTTTGAATGCTCCTTAATTTTGCTTTCTCCGCGACTGATTGCTATCATTATTGTTCTTTTGATTGGGGTAGCCCGTGACCTTTTAACGGATTTGTTGTGTTCTTCATACGAAGATCGATTCTCTTATTTGATTCTTTTATTAACATGCTTTATGATGTGAGTTGATTGGTCATCTAATTGTATACCTTTAAAAAAAAAGAACCGAGAGATAAACCTATATATTAGAATTATATGAAAAAACCTTGATTATAAATAAAAAAAATAGATTTAATCCTTTTGGTAATCAAATGAATTAACAAACAAACATATATGGTCTAATTAAACATAACTAAAAAAACAGGAGTTAATTCAGCTACATACCATCTCGAAAACCCTCTCGAAAGTGAACAGAGACTAGCCTAAATCAACTCTCAAATTTAAATCTAATCAAGCATGATGATATAATAAATTAATTAATTGTTATGTAAAACTCAATCTCGGAAATTATTCTCCACTGATCAATCCCATTCTTGGTATTCTTTCTTTATTATAATTTTGGTGCATTCCTTCTGTACGTGCACAAGGCATTACTAAACGATAAAACATACAACTAATCATGCTTGCGAAAGCTATGCTACAGATCCTGTACATAAAATATTAATGTGGTTGCATCACAATTCAAACAGTTCCAAGATTACGAGCAGTCAAACGCAGCCACCACATGCATAATTTAAGCACATGTCGACTTTTGAAGAGAATGTTTGGTGAGTGATATGACTCTGAAAGATTAACGAGGGCCCATTCAACAATCAAAACTTGCACAATATTTAAAAAATCTATAGCTGATTACATATATGCTTGCACACAAATGATACATTAAAAACACACCTTGATGTGGTATTTGAGCAAAATTCAGAAGAGGATAAATTTTCATGGGGCAATAGGCACTTACTCAGACGTAAACATTAAAATTCACGAGGTAACTAAATGGGGGAAGGAAAATAAGGGGTCAATAATCGTAATCCTCATATTCGCTATCTCGCCTACAAAGAAATTCGGAATTGCATTTTGAAGCTATTTGGCTTTTGTGATGCAACTAACAAAATTTTACCATTGAAAATTAAGCTGTTTTTGGCTTTGACTTGATTCGCTTCACCCTTGAATAGAGGAAAACGCCGGCAAGAGCTATAGCAGTCCCTGTAGAAACAGAATATAAAAATATAAGCAACATATTGAATGGTTAAGAGAATTTCAAAACAAAAACCTTCAAACATTTTCCATTTCAAACCAGAAAGAAGCAACTTTACCAAAAGCATTCACAGGTGAGACAGGTGTCTGGAAGAAGATGACAGAGCTCACAATGACCACAACCCGCTTCACACAATTGCCCACAGAGTGGGTAACTGGTGATACCCTTTGCAATATCATATAAGAAACCTGCCAGCCAATTCACAGAAAACCATCACTATACTATTCAAGGTATATACAGCACCATTTAACTATTACAAAAGGGAGCCATGTATAAAAATTATAGAACAAGACCTTATTTAAGGCCTAGCATGCAAATAGCAACGAGTAAAATCCTTATTTATAATTATAACACTAATTTTTCTTTCATATATTTTTCTCTTTAATGATGGTCATATGTCAAAAAGCTTCCACTATCATTGTCCCTTCATGTCAGCAACATTTTAGCTCAGGTAATGTGAAATGACTATTCATTTCTTAAGAAGTACACAACTCTTTGGATAAAACAAGTAATCTTTCTAATTCCAGTTAAATATTTAATAGTCAACAGCAAGTCAAGAAGAGTTAACTCCTCTGCAATTATCAGAATTATTTTATCAACTAATGAAGCCACTCCAAAATTTACATGCTCATTACTAGCAAAATACCCTTTTTCAGAGACATGGACAGAGAATACAAGAACATAAAATTTCTAAACTATCTTCTAGGTACACAGTTGGAGAATATGTTGAACATTTCACATCAAGCGATTCATCATTTTCCTAAGTAATGGTCGACCATGTTTAATCTAGCAGTCAAAAGATAAAATGCTTAAGAATAAAAACGCTCATTTTAAAACAGAAACAAGTTTGCAGCTCAACTGTCAATGACTACAATCTCTATAACCGGGTTGTGATGTTGATGTTGAAGGGGTCAATCCCCGCTAGAGCAGGTTTCCCCCTCCCTTACCAGATGCTATCTAGTTACAACTTCAAAGCATCCCACCAAAAAAAAAATATATATATATATATATATAAAGGGGCACTTAATGCATAGAAGGGCAAAACTCACTTGTTGATATGCATGGAAACAGAGTGCAGCAAGAAGAGATCTGATGTAAACTTGTCTAACATTTAACCCCTGTCAAGAAAGAACATGCAATAAGATTAGCAGAGTCAACATAATTATATCTCTTCATTGCAGCTAATAACAGCATTCCTATCTATTTTAACCATCAAGATACTCACAGCAGATTGCAAATAAGCAGGGGTAAATTTCACACCCTCCATGAAGACAGCCACAGGTGCTAACAAGAAGAAGGACATTACTGTTATTATAGAGAAGAGAGTAATGTTGTCCAAGGATTCCTGAGAAGAACAAAATGCTTGTTACTTTCTTTTACAAGTTAAGAGATTCACAAAATGTCTTCTGATATGCAAACATAATATCGGCAATGAAATATATCCAAAACATCTGTACCGTTTACACATAATATTACCTCTTTATTAACCATGGCCTTTTTGCTAAGAACATTACGAGATTGATTTGACACATTGGATGCCATTGCACTCCAAAATCCAGCCCTGTTCACCATTCCACCAAAGCATATTACAGTTTGCAATTTTGCATGACCAAAACTTTTTTTTTCAAATCCCACCGGGTCACCTCTCCTCTTCCTCAAGAAGGATCAAGACAAAGGACCAGACATCTTACTAATTGAAAGAGGCCTCTGTAACAGACGCCAGTGCAACTCCACCAACAATAGGTACAAGGGAACCGACCACCCAAGGTGTAAGGAACTGAAAGAGAGTGAAACAAAATTAACATTGGTCGGAATTTGAATAAACAAGATGGGATAGTAGTAAGCAAATGAAAGCACAGCACTCTCTCCAAAACCCCCATTCTCCGAATACGCACACATCATCGAGTTCCAACCAAAAAATAAAACAATCTAAATTTAAACAGCGACAAAAGGAGCTAGCAATCATTATAAAAATTAACTTTAGATCAATCACAATAAGCAACACGAGCTAACCTCTCCAAGGAACATGGCAGATAGGACGACCGAAAAGAAAGGCTCCATGGCCTTGATCGTGTGAGTGAAAGACACAGCCACCTTCCCAAGACTCATATTAGTGAAAAGATTCCCCAAAGTATGCACCGCAGCCAACGGCAAAATCGCTCCAAGCTGCCACACACAAGCAAATCCAACATCAACAAACACCTAACAGAACACAACAACACACAAAACTCAACACATCAAAGTCCAAAATACCATAGCACCACTGAGTTTCGGCCTCTTGTACAGATTCAAACCCCACATTAACGCCACAATAACAGTCCCAACGGCAAACTGCGTGAGAGTCACAGTCACCGGAAAATGATACGCCTTCAACACCTGCAAAATAAATCCACATTCAAATCAATCATTTCCTATCACACTTCCTCTCACGCAACGCACAACACACCACAACACAATCAGAAACCGCACAGTAATCCAAAACGGAATAAAAGCTTCCAATCTAAACCACGCAGACGCATCGATGAATTAACACAAATCCAAGGGCGTGTTTGGCAGGAAGAAACGTTTTAACGAGAGATCTGGCGAGAGAATAGAACCTGCTTGTTGTAGATATTGAAGTAGATGTTGAAGAGGTACCAGAGGCCGAACAAGGCGCCGAGTTCGAGAGTCTTGAAGAGCGTGTTCTCGGCGGGGACACTATCGGGAACGGCGTTTTCGGCGGCGCGTGGAGGCGAAGGGGAAGAGAGAGGGCGGAACTTGAAGGAAGAGGAGGGAGAGAGAGTCCAAGATCGGCGAACGAAGGAAGAGGAAGAGACGCCGTCGGCGTTGCCATGTTTGGCAGAGACGCGAAGAGAGAGCGAGGGTCTTACTCTGAAGGCGTTTGGAGAAGGGTTTGGGAGAGGGAGCGAGGGAGAGAGAGTGAAAGCCGCGCTCTGCATTTTGGAGATCTGAGGGAAACAAACGGAACTGAAGCGCGCGGTTTCTTTTCTCTTCTCTTCTCGTGTTTGGTTAGGTTTTATGGAGAGGGAGAGTCCCTCGGAGATTCCGCCACCACCTAAGTTTTGTTTGGTCACTTGGTGGAAATGGAACGAATGAATGAATGGGAGTAGTAGGTAGTAGTACAACTACGACGTGCTTTTTGTGTTTAGTGTCCTTTGTGTTTTCAAAGGGAAGATACTTTCTTTCTTGCGAGATTGCACACTGCCACCACAGTAAATAATAATGCCAAACAAATAAATTAATCTACATACTCAAATGTCGGATATACTTATGCTCCTCAGTGATTTGCGTTTCCAGGACAAAAAATATGTCTGAAATTTATTTTTTTTTAATCATTTTTATCTTATTTTATTTAATAATTTTTATTCATGATTTTGTTCTTGTTAACAAATTTTGAGAGTTGATTTAGGTCAGATGAAATAAGTGAGAAATAAGAAGGGAATGGTGAAAATAAGATAGTAAAAATAAAAAAGTAAAAAATTAAAAAGTGATGGATTTTACTTTTCTCTCTTTCTTCTCTATCTTTTATTTATATATATATATATATATATATTATTTTTCACATATTTCACTTTAATTCAACAACTAAATTTTTATTTTATTTATTACTTATTTTCATTAATTCATTTCTCTCTATTCTATTTATTACTAATTTTTTTCTTTCTACCAAACACAAACTTAATCAATAACAATATATTAAAAAGACTATGTTAGAGAATGTTGTTAATATTTCTTTTATCTAAATAGAAAAACACATGATTATCACATAAAAAATCACTAACAAACATTTGAAAATTAGAAGAACTTGTTTATGAATTCAGTTCTCTATTAAGTATCATTAAGGATAATTTAACATTTATGTTCCTTAATTAAAAGTTGAGGTTTTAACACATTACATTAAATAAAATTAAAAGTACTACTTTATGTTTATAGACGGTGATTTGATGAAAATAAGTTATTTTTTATAAACAAAAATATAAAAAATTTGTTATAAATTTAATTTAAATTATTGATAATGTAAGAATTTTTTTATATATTTATCTAATTATAGATTATTATGTTTGCTAATAGTTCTTTAATTTCAAAGAATTAATCACCTATACACTGTCAGTGTAAAGTTTTTTTACACTAGCAACCAATTAGATCTTTTAATTGTGTCATGTCACTATAAATATATATACTTTAAACAGTGACATGACATAATTAAAAGATCTAATAAGTTACTAGTGTAAAAAAACTTTATACTAGCAATGTATATGTGATTAACTCAATTTTAAATATTAGAAGATAAAAATCATTTTGAGTAACTTCTATTTAACAATTTTTTCAAGACTAATTCTCACTTATTTTTAAAAACAAAATGAAAAAGAAACAAGTATAAGCTATATTTTTGTTTTTATTGTTTTCTTTCTAATTCTGGAAACAAAGAAATATGTGGAGAAGAGGTATTGGTGAGAACAACTCTTTTTTCTTTATTTTTATTTTTTTGAAAAGAACAACGCATTCTAAGTTTCTAACCTCCACTCCTCGAGTATAAAAATAAATAAAAAAATAAAAAAAAATGATATCCGTCCTTAGTTTTTAACAGGATTATGGATTTATATGGTTTGGTTTGATTTGCCGCATCTTCATTTTTAATTTTCATATTTCTCTTGGGGTTTAATAAAATATTCAAAAATAGTGTTAGGATACCTTTGCATAAATATTTTAGTTAAGCGTTTATGGCATAAATTTAAGGTTTAACAAGTCACTATATTTTTTTTAAAATTAATTAAATTTCTGAACTAAAAAAAATTATAACCGAGTTCTTAATTTTTTACAAATTTTACATGTTAAGTGTTTAAAATTAATAAAATTGTCATAAAATATTACTTTTATAAGAGTTTCAATCATCGCAAATTAATTATAGAGACTTAATTATAAAAAAAAATTAAAAAAAAATCAAATGTATAATTACAATTTCTCTTTAAGTTTATGTATTTAATTAAAAATTTTAAAAATTCAAGATAATTTAAGAATCATATGTTATTTTCGTACATTTTAAATAAATTTACACGAGCTCTTACAAATATTATCATAATTACATATTTAATTATAATTTACATATATTTTTTAGTTCATACAATTAGTTCAGTCCCTAAAAGTCTCTTTTAGATAATATTTTTTTTAAAAATGTTTCAGCTTCCGAAACTTAACGCCGAAATTCATTTCGAATGAATAAAATAATATTTTAAATTATAAAATATTAAATTAAATAATTATTTTATAATAAATTTATTAAAATATATTAATATTTTAATTTTTCGAACTATGATTCGGACAAAATTTCGAAAACATAGCATCAATGGAATTAAGATCTTGAAATATATGTCACGGTAACATTAGCCAGAAGTAAAATTTAAATTATCTTTTAAATATACAAATGATATTTATCACTTAAATGAAAGTAATTGTTGGTATAATTTAAAAATTTTAAATTAAAAGTGATAGAAAATTAAGACTGTGTTAAGTAAGAGTAAATTTATAATATATTTATATATAACAAAATTGTGACATTAGGTGGTTAAACTCATTCGGGTTAATTGTATTTTATATTTTTATATATTATTATTAATAATAATTAATATAAATTATTTGATGAGGCTGAGGTAACGAGCGACAAACGTGGTAGGTGAGCGGTTGAACCTATAACTTCGGAAAGCCACTCACTGTCAATGACTGCTACTTCCATTGCTTAGAAGAAATTTTCTATTTAATTCCTAAAATTATAAATTTTCATAAATATTTTTATTAAATCAAGAGAAATTTCTAAAATAAGATATCAGAATTAAAAAAATTATAATTTTTTAATAAATTTTAACTAATAAAAAAATTAGAAAAATAATGTTAGAGAAAATATTATTAATATTTATATTATATAAATATACCAAATTTTGTCCAGAAACAAGGACTTCTAATCGAAGATTTTCTGTTGGTTTTCATCTTGGATACTAATTAAGAGGAGAAGAAAATTTGTCACCTACATGCATGTAGTGCTGAGTTAATGAAGATTATTTACGGTATTTTGAAAATGTTTTTGGAAAATTGAAAACATAAAATTTAACTTTTTGAGGCAACAAACATAAAAGGAAGGGGTGAGGAGTGTTGGCGTTTTCAACCAAATAAAATTTCAAACATGCATTTATGTCTTTGAAAATTGATATAAAAAAAAATTAGGTAAAGAGAATGAAAATAATGAAGTTATTTAATTGAGGAGAAATAAGAGAATAGAAAATTAAAAGGTAGTACATTCTGTCCTCTTATTTATTTATTTCTCTTTCATTTTATATATATCTTATTTTTCATATATTTTTTACTTATTTTTTTTTTACAACTCTATTTATTACATATTTTTTATTATCTTTATTTTATTTTTTTTATCTATTTTTTTTTATTAAACATAGGAGACGTTTGGTATGTAAAATGTTTCTACATTCTTGAAAATCTTAAAAATACAAATCTTAATTTCTTATGTTTGATAACTATTTTTTTTAAAAAAAATATTCTCAGGAATATAGTTTCCTGGGAGTCATTTTTATCTATTTTTCCACGAAAGTATTTTTATAGAGATGAAAATCTATTTTTCTTGAATTAGGGAAAATTTTCATATATATAAAAGACTACGATATCCTTTTTTAAATAAAATATATATATATATTTTTCTCCTTTTACTTATCTTTTTTCGTCTCACTCTCACTCTCCCTCTCTCTCTCTCGCTCCCTCCCTTCTTTCTCTCCCTCCCATATATCTATTTCTCTAATTTATTTTATTTATACATTTTAATGGTATTTATTAACACTTTTTATTTTTTATTTGAAAAATAAAATAATATATTTTTATTCTTCATAATTATAATGTAGTATTTTTTTTAATTATTTTTTTTGTAAAATTTTATGTTTAAATAATTTTAATAAATTTTTAAATTTTTAAAATAGTTTAATATCATATTTATAATGAGATTTAAGTAAATAAATATAATAAACTTATTTTAATAAATAATATTTTAATTTCCGGTGTTCTTATATAAATATTTTTAAGAACTTTTATAAGTAATTAAATGTATTTTATCTATTTCTAATATTCATGATTCCAGAATTTATAATTTCTAGGAATGATGATTTTTTGGTATAAAAATATTTCTCTCTTGCCAAACATATCTTGAAATCCAGTTCCATTAAATGTGATTCACTCTTTTTTTTTTTCTAATTCATAAGTGTTATTTTTCCATTTATGATTTAGAAACTGCAAGTGAATATGTGGTCCAAAGTCCAAACACACATTTGATCAATAATATGCATGTGATGGCATTTTGATTTTTCTACATTATTCAATTCAATTTAATGACAACGTTTAGAATAACTGCATTAATTGGTCCTCAAGTAACAAAAATCAATAACTGCAGTGATGATTTTCTTTATTTACTGGGAAATTTTCAACATCCAATTACTGCTCAACCTCGTTTGATGGTTTGCTTAATTGCATCCCTAGACCAATGTACGTTTCTTCCAATAACATTTCTTACACAATTCTCTTGTTTAATATTCTTTAGAAAAATATTAAATATAGTAATGGGAAATTCTTTTAAATGGATCCTCTAAACACTTATACCTACAACTGAATTCTTACAAAATTATTTGAGAAAAAAAAATAGAAAGAAAAGATAATTATTTCTTTGAAATAAATTACACCAAGCGCACAAATGTTTTAATTATAAGAATTTAACTTCTTAGTCTAAAATAATACCACATATTTTATCATGTATAAAAATGTATATTTGATTTGATAAAAAAATTATATTTAATGATATAAATTATTTCATCTTTAATTTAAGTAAAGTCACGAGACAATACAAATTAAAAGAAGATAAACATGATAAAATATAACTTTTTTTTGTTAGTTAATAAATTATGAAACAACTTTTTGTCACTAATCCAAAATTCTCAAAAGATAGAAATATTTTTGTTTATTTTTTATTTAATAATATTTTTTTTTCTTTTTATCTCTTCTCCTATTGATGTTATTAACTCATTATTACCAACACCGTTATTATTGTTGTTATCAATCTATCACTAATGGTTATTATTAATAATCATTATGTATCCATCACTATATATTATTGTCATTAA